TCAGCTTTATTATTAGTTTATTTGCCATGTAAGCAATAAGGGCAATTCAGCCCTTTTACAATTAGTCAACATATATAAATATTAAGAGTGGGTCGGCAGATCATTATGATTGACCCTCTCTCTCTTTTCTAAAACCCTTCGTGTGCTTCTGCTTTTCTCCCTCTCTTCTTCTTCTTTTCTTCCTCTTTTGTTCTTCTGAAATCTTTTCCTTGACTTTCGAATTCAAGACTGATTGTAGTCTTGATCGACTACTTTGATCACACTCATTTTTTCATTGATATGCTTAATATAAAATATTAAAGATGTGCCCAAATGTTTTCTATAATTTTTTATATTTTTTAATTTTTATTATTTAATTATGACATTGATTGTTGACACATTTGAACCAGAAGGTTCAATTGTTGACTCACTACCAAACAAGAAAGCAATTTCATTTTTGGGTTGGTTTTAAATTTTGTATTTTATGTCCATCGTTAATAAAAATAAGTGTTGTTAATCACAGTTATTTTTCTTCAATACGATTAATAAAAAATACTAGAGATGTGTCCAAAATTTTCTACARATTTTTTGTTTTGTTTTTTGTAATGTTTGTATTTATTTTTATTTAAAAATTTTCGTTGTTTAACTATAATATAGTGGGGTGATCCATTTGACCCAAATGTTTGAATTTTTTATAGACCACCTAGATGGAAGAATAGTTATATTCCTGGGTCGATTTAAAAAAAAACATGGATATTGTTAAAAGTATTGAATTTGGATCTAATTAGTAGAAATATATTGGTGTGAAAAAAAACTTGAATATAGGATTTAGTGAGAGAGAATTGGAGTTGATACATTAAATTGAGAGGGACAAAATATTAAGATAATGGTATTTTAGTCAAGAAAAATATTTTTACATCATCTGTACTTTTAATAGTAGTGTAGATATAGATACGTGACTGCTAATACTACTGTATTTCAAAATTCTTGAAATTTGACTATTATTCTGCCATTTCAAACAGAGCTGAGTGCTGAATGTAAAATTTAACTTACCTGTTATATGAYTCCAAATTTTGCAGGATAAGAGGCTATCTGATGGGATCTTTTTCCTTGAGCTTCTTAGTGCTGTGGAACCGAGAGTTGTGAATTGGAGTCTTGTTACAAAGGGGGAAATTGGTAACCTCAATTCTCTTGTTATTTGAGAAGTGAATGTTTCTTCTGGAATTTCTGTGGAGATTTTATCTTTTATTGCTTGACATTTACTATGTATATAGGGCTCTGTTTTTCTTTTCTGGTAATAGGCTTATTGGCTCGATTAGGTTTTTTGATCATTAACAAGAACTTTACTATGTATCTTTTATTGCTTGACATATACTATGTAGATAGGGTTCAGGTTTTAAAAGAATTGAGAGTTATATGCAGTACAATCCGTTGTACCCCTTGGTTTGGACTAGCATTGCTATCCATCTACAGTCCACTAAACTTATGAGTTACATATCATCCATCCCTTTCCGAAATAAACCCTGATTACATTTGAGATCTGTTAGTCCTCTGTTTAGCTAATCCAATGGAATGTAGCTCTCAGTGCTCTCACAAGGTGCTGTATTTCCCTGAACATAAAACCGTACTGCCAAGTTCCCTCACTCCCTTGCCTGATCCCCAACAATAGTCCTTGAATCTCCTTCCACTACCAACTGGCTGAACTGCTGATCCCTTCCAACTCTCAGTCTATGAAGGGCTGTCAATAATTCTGCTCTTATATAGTTATCAAATCCAATAGATCCTGACTATGAGGCAACTATCTTGCTGTCATGGTTTCTAAATTCTGTCCCAAGAGGAGGGACCAAGAATAGATGTATTGGTCTCAAAACTGAGGATGATGAAGAAGAAACAACTTCCCCTCAAGGCATTATCTCATATCTGCTCCTATTAATACATCATGAACTTATCATTAACTTGGAACAACACAATTGTTAGCTGGCATATTATTGGTATTCTCTCTATTCATGTATGCCCTGATGCGGTGCACCAATTTGAAGAAGCCTTAATACTGATAAAAGAAAAAGAAAGGAAGCTGATAGGGATTTTAAAATTTTAAAATTTGGGTTATATTTCTGCAAAGTGGCTTTAATTTGTAATTAAAAAAATTCTTTTCATATGAACATAGTTTCATAGTCCATGTATAACCCGATGATATCATTTGATTAAGATATCCTACTATTAACTTTCTTTATGTTTTGGTTAGTGAAAATTTTAATTAAGAAAAAGCTAGAAAAATGAAGGAATTGGACATGCCACATGCATTGATGTGTATTTCCTTGGGTTAATTTAGAGTTTAACCAATTTATAAACTCACAAGAAACATTTGTGTTGCTGGAAAAATATATTTTTTTTGATCAGTTTGCTGGAAAAATATTTTGTTGAAGCTTTTTAATACCAATGCTAGATCCAGAATAAAAGAACTAATATGGACTTGTGTCCTTATATTCTATGGTCAAGTTTCATCATTTCTCTAAGAATTTGTTCTTTTAACATTCACAAATACATGTTTTTATGCACAAACATCAAAGGTTTGTTGAATTGATATATTCTTACTTAGGCTACCATAATTAATGGTATTCGAATGCCAAGCCCTTATCTGCAGTATAAGCCAATGGCACATTGGACCTTAATGATACTAGTAGTACAAACTTCAAATTTCAAATTACCATATTTCCCAAAGGAAGGGGTTTCCCAACCGAAGTATGCAGCACAGTATTTAGCTCACTGTATGTAACATGCTGCCCAATCTGAGGACATCCCAAAATCTAAGCCAAGTTTATAATCCTTCATTGGCATATTTGTGCCATGTATCTAGGCAGCCAATGTTTAGTACAACACCATCAATTTTTCCCCAAGTGCAACCTACTGGGAACATATATTTGAGGATTACTACTTTTCTTTGGACCTGCACCAAGATCCTTGGAGAAATGGTTTGTGTATATTCAAGACTCCCACCAAATGCAATCCTTGGAATGGTGAGACATCAGTATATTAAGTTGAACTAGGCATGGGCGACATGGTTCGCTACCTACAAATAGATTCACATACAATGATAGCTCTAGCTTTCCTCTAGGACCAAGTTTGAGGTGTCTTTGGAGATCCTTGTAGGCATGTTTAACACACTAATGCCTCCCTAAGTAACTATTTCCATTATTGATGGGTTAACAGCTAGCCAAAATATGGTTGCATGTCTCTGATTCTTTGCCATAGGAAAACAAACAGCTTGCTAAAAGAAACATTAATTGCATAATCTCATTACATCCCTTGTGCTGAAGTGATTCCTTCTGTTGGAGGTGTTATAATGCTGTATTATTTATTCTTTTTTTTTAATTTGGAAAATTGAAATGTTGTCGGTATTGGCACAAGTCAGGTAACGAGCTTGAAGAATTTATGCTGGGCCTGGTCCATTGGAATGAACCCAAGCCTAACCAAGTTGCACCCTTAGTTGGAGGGCAGGAAGCAATCCTTCCATGACTTTCAGGATAGGGAAGGTTGACACTTGACAAGTTACCTGGACTGTTAAACTGACTAAAGTGAATCAATGGATATGTTACTAACAGGTCAGCTAATAGTATGGCAGGAAAGGCGTTCTCTTTTTTTTTTTTTTTCTTTTTGAAACTGTAAGGTAAAGTATTTCATTAAAACCAAAAGGCCAAAATACAATGAAGCCCCTGTACAATGAGAGACTGAACAAAGGATATACAAATCTGCCCATTACAGCCAAAATCCCCAAAAAAAAATCTATCCACTCTTACAAAAAGGAAATCAAAATCGAAAAAAGAACTAGAATGTCTTTCTAAATAAAGGGTGAATTTCCGACTATGAGTGAACCCCCAGTATTTTACTTAGGATTTCTTCCTTTGAGGTCTGGTTCCCTTCAAAGGTTCTACTATTTCTTTCACACCGCACAGCCTAGGAAACTGCTGAGGGAAGGATGCTCCATGCTACCTTTCCAGCCCTACTTAATCCTCCTAGACACCATGCCTCTATGAATCCCTTCACATCAGCTGCTAAACACTGCTTAACACCAAACAGGTCCAACATTCTTAACCTAACCCAGTGAGTATCGCAGTGAATCAGCAAATGGCTAGACGAATCCACATTTCTATTGCATAAAGGACAAGCCATATCCGCCACCTCTAAGCCTCTTTTAACTAGATTCTCTTTGGTTAGGATTTTATCCAACACTGCTAACCATACAAAAAAAGCCACTTTAGATGGTACAGCTCTGATCCATATTCYGTCACTTGGAAAAGAAGTGGTATCCTCCCTTGATACATATTTGAAAAATGATTTTACAGAAAAAAACACCTGATTTCTCAAAAACCTAATTTCTTTTATCCTCCCCTATACAGTTGTCTTTGAGTCATAAGATCTGGAGCAAGCTGATTAAAGATGTCACCTCCCAGTTGTTTAAGTTCCTCCTGAATTGAGGGTTCAACATGCAATATCCATTCTGCCTTTCCAAATATTCAGATACTGTAGCATTCTTATTTGTATCTATTTCAAACAGATCAGAGAATATGTTCAACAAAGGGCCTTCACACCAGTGGTCCTTCCAAAAGAGAACCCTCCAGCCATTTTCCACTTTATATTTTATGCCCTTCAAAAACTGAGGCTGTATTTTCTGAATTACCTTCCAATTTGAACATCCATAGGATGATCTTACCTCTTCTGTTTCCCACTCCCTGCTACTAAACCCATATTTGGCTATTATTAGCCTTCTCCACAGACTATCCGATTGCTTATTAAATCTCTATAACCGTTTTCCCAGCAAGGCAGTGTTTACATCTTTCACTGATGTGATCCCTAGKYCCCCATTAGCTTTGGAACAACAGATTTTCTTCCAGTTTACCGAGTAACATTTGGTTCCTCCTTCCATCCCTTTCACAAAAAAATCCCTCATCTATTTTTTAACGCTGCAGCCCACTTATCTGGAATTGGGAATAAAGATAGGTAGAATACAGGGAGGGAGGACAACACACTTTTAATTAAGGTGACTTTGCCCCCTTTGGACAAGTATTTGGTCTTCCACATGCCAATTTTCTGTCCACCTTCTCCATGATGGGCTCCCAAATGGATTTGGATTTACAGCTTTCCCCCAAAGGCATGCCCAAGTGTCTAGGTGGGAGATTACCAACTTTACATCCCCAATCATCTGCCCACTCTTCCAAATTTGTCACCTCTCCAACATCCATTATTTCACTCTTCAGGATGTTAATATGCAGGCCTGTTACCACCTCGAACCATCTTAAGATTGCCTTCACATTCCAAATTTGTTCGCAAGAGGCATCACAGAAGAAGAGGGTGTCGTATGCAAATTGAAGGAGTGCTATATCCACTTCCCCATTGCCTACTTTAAAGCCTTCTAACAGTCTTCCCACCCATGCTTTCTCTTCCATCCTAAAAAGGGCTTCCATCATGCAAATAAATAAGAGGGGAGAAAGTGGGTCCCCTTTTCTTAGGCTCCTAGAACTTCTAAACATCCAACAAGAACTCCCATTCACAAGAACTGAGGAAGAGGAAGAAAATAAACACATCTTTATCCAATTTCTCCATTTCTCCCTGAAGTTCATTCTCTTCAGCATGTCGTCAGAAATTTCAGTTTACATGGTCATAAGCCTTCTCCATATCCACCTTACACAACAATCCCACATGCCAACTTCTCCTTGAATCTATTAACTTCATAAGGTTTTCTGGCCATCCATGTAGAGGACTATTCCATGACTTATAAGGAAACCAGAATGTAATTACTGGGGGAAAATATATCATTGGTCAAAATTAGAAGGTGAATGGAGCATTTGTCAGACCAAAAGACACTGAGGAATTTATAATGTRAACCATGTGCATGAACACTGTGAATGCCCTTTTGGAGGAAAACCTTGTGCAGTAGAACTACCCTAATGATTCATTGTGCACCTGAGTGATAGGTATATATTTCCCCAACAGTCTATGATGCCCTCTAATTGGTGTAGATGCAACTATTGAAGGGTAGGGTTGTCATGTTATTCTGGGTAAACAGTAATGGAGTGGGGRTCTATACCACCCTAAAACCAACATACATATATACCTGATTCTTTCTTCATAAATCAACAAAAGTTCAGTTAACAATTAAAAAATGGTAGGGCTGTTACAAGGTCCTGAATCCTGATGAATGCTTTCTCTTTCATTTTTAGTACTATCTTCTTTGTTTCTTTATCTTAGAATGCTAAATTTCACCAAGGACGGAGTGACCTGGTAGTGTAACACATTTTAAAAAATCTGCCATCAATCATGCATAATTTAGTTGTTCAGCAAGAAATTGCTTCTATTACATAATATTGTACAACTTCACAAACACTTCAGTTTGTGGAATTTGTTAACTTTGACAAATTATGTGGTTGTTGGGTTCGCTAGTTGGGTCTTTTATGAAATTAAAATGGCCCAGGGACCTCTAATGCGGCAACTGGAAAAGGTGGTGAGTGCTCAAAGTACTTAAACATGTTGCTCTCTCCATCCTCTACTAATGGATCAAATTTCAGCCCCGAGATTGTCAACAGTTACACATCCATTAATAGTCCATTCCTTTTTGGCATGTTTTATATTTGCAATTATGAAGTTGATTGGCTAATATATTTTTTTTGATCAATAACACTTTCATTAAATCATCAGTAGAAAATTTACAGGAGGAAGACAAACACACTTATCTTCCAAGAGTCACTAAGAGCCTCATAAAAGAAAGAAAAAAGAAGAAAAAGAGAAAATAATACACTAAAGTTACAGCTTAGCCCAAAACAGTGAATCCCTTTCTGTCCCTTGTTTAGCTAAATCGTCAGCTAGGGAATTAGCCGATCTTTTAACCCAACATGTCTTAACTTCCATCTCCCGCACCAGCCATATAAATTTGCTCCTCTCATTGTTATACTTCCATAAACCATTTTGATCTTTAGTCAGCCATCCTTCACCATCTCTGAATCCCCTTCAATTATGAGTTTCTTGATGTTCAACTCCTTGGCTTTCCGGACTCCTTCCATAACTGCAARGATCTCAGCTCTAAGGGAGTCACCCACTCCAATTGGGCCTGAGAACATGGCAGAGATGACCCCATTTTCGTCCCTAAAAACACCTCCAATCCCCAATTGCCCCGGATTTCCCCTATTGCATCCATCAAAGTTTAATTTCAAGAATCCTCTAGGTGGGGGAGCTCAAACCACTTTCATTATTGACTTGGTCTGTGTGCAATTTGCAATTTCACCCCACTTCCTCAACATGTCATCCACAGTGTAATCTGTGAATAGTTCCAAATATTTCAGCCACTGTACTGCCCTAATATGTATGATAGCCCTCAGATCTGTTGCTCCTCTTTGGGTTTTTGAGAATATCCTGGAGTTTCTTTCCTCCCACAATGTCCAACATACTGCAGCCGGCCTCATACTCTTCACCCTATACAACACCGAAGTAGAATACACGTTGAGGTTTGACTTCTCGGCATCCAACAATGAAGCCGAGTATAAAGTCCTCCTTGCCGGACTACAGCTCGCAAAAGACCTTAGCTCCCAGCATATTGAGGTCTTCAATGACTCCTAATTGGTGGTGAACCAAGTCAATGATGAGTACGAGGTTAGGGAGCAAAGCATGGCCAAATACCTAGCTAAGGTGCAATAGCTCGCCCGCCACTTCCAACACTTCTCCCTACAACAGGTTCTGCGACCCGAGAACATGAGAGATGACGCCCTATTGAAATTGGCAAGCACCTCCGACGTAACCCTCGACCGTCCGTGTGGAGAAGTTAGCTCACCCCTCCATTGAAGAAGTTCTAGTTCACCCAGTACAGGCTAAGCTGTCCTGGATGGGTCCTATCATTGCTTTCCTCCTGACCGAGTAGCTACCGGACAACAAAAACCGGGCCAAACGAATCTAACGGCAGGTCGCCCACTACACTTTGCCCGAAGGGAAGCTGTATTGAATCTCTTTTACCTTGCCCTACCTCCGATGCTCCGCCAAGAGGAGGGCGAGTACATGCTTTGAGAGATCCACAAAGGCATCTATGAAAACCACCTTGGAGGCAGAGCCTTGGCCCAAAAAGCACTAAGGCAAGGGTACTTCTGGCCGACAGTTTAGAACACATTATCCTTCTCCTTTTTATCCGCCACCTGAAAAAGGTAGGGGAGAAAAGGCCCTGCAAGTCTGATGGGGGATTCCAACTGCGTCCAAATAAGGAGGAAGCCCAATCCCAAATTGACCTCCCAAAGTGGCAAGACACCAGTTGAGTGGCTAATATTACTTGAGAAAAAAATAACAATTCAAGGTAGGTTACGTAACTGAGGACTAAGGATTAAACAAAGGTTGTGTAGGGAAGCTCCCAACTTGACCTGATTTGTGTGTGTGATATTTTTTTAAGTTTTTTTTTTCCTTTTTTCTGGGGAGGGGGGAGGTGATTTATGTTATTCGATATTATGATGATCTAAGTAACTTAATGTGGATAATGCAGATGAGGAGAAAAAAATGAATGCGACCTACATTATCAGTATTGCAAGAAAGCTTGGATGCTCCATATTTTTGCTCCCAGAAGACATAACAGAGGTAAGCCGGTGATGAATATTAACTTATGGCTATTTTAGTATCATTTCCATTCCTTCAGTGTCCCTTTATCACACACAAATGATTGTTGATGGCAATGATGAGTATTGTAACTTCACATGGTTTTCTGCCCTATATTCTATTTAAATAGTAAGGGGTTTTATTATTATTATTACTACTATTTCAGGAGTCAGTTGCCCATATTTTCTGCAATTGATGGCAATGTTAAGTATTGTAACTTCACATGGTTTTCTGCCCTATATTCTATTTAAATAGTAAGGGGTTTTATTATTATTATTATTATTATTATTATTATTATTATTATTATTATTACTACTACTGCTACTGCTACTGCTACTACTACTATTTCAGGAGTCAGTTGCCCATATTTTCTGCAATTGTTTGCTGTTCCCTATTATTCACTATTAAGAATTATTTCAATCAATACGTTAGGTAGGAATTAGCAGGAAGTCATGTTCAGTAATGGTCATTAATTTTGACCTCAAATTAAGTTTAAGACGTGGTGGTTTGTATCATCAGGTGAACCCAAAGATGATCCTCACTTTGACAGCAAGCATCATGTATTGGTTCTTGAGACAACCAATTGWAGAGAGGCCTTCTGGTGCTTCAGATAATGAAAACGGAAATTCATTGGAGACCATCTCAAATTCAACAGTGGACGACACTGCTTCTGAGGCATCCTCAACAGAAGATAATTGTAATAGATAATCAGGTGATTTGGATTGAAAATAGATCATTGAAGCTTTATTCTTTGCTTCTCTTGTGGAATATTCGTCCTGCTTTTAAGCCGTCCTTGTGTTGGTGCGGGAGTTGGTTATAGATCAGGTATCATTCTTAAGTATCCAAGCTATCATTCAATTGTAAGTTGGAATTACCCACATTAATTTCTCTTTTTCTTGTATTCGGTTGGTAAAAATATCGACAGGATTCACTGTGTAGCCAAGACAATTGTCCATGTAAATATTAACACCGTTTTGTTTGTTGAATTGCTCTCTTCTACAATCACTTTATCATTTTCCGTAATTTGCAGTGGATCTGGAGTCTGGACGTATGGTGGCGACCTTTATTCATGGTTTAAAAAAAAAAAAAAATGCTCCCTGTGCTTTCTCAATTTCCCATTTGGGTTTACCTGTGGGCCCAAGAACTGCATCCTACAAAATTGAAGTGCTGCATCCTACAAAATTGAAGTGCTGCATCCTACAAAATTGAAGTGCTAGGTTTTCTCATTTTCCCATTTACCACATGCTTTTAATAACATGGTCGTGATCTGTCATTACGTGCGAGTATCTCCAGGAACAAAAGATAAAATCCGATAATAAATAATAAAAACAAAAGAGGCTTTCTACATATGCATTGTCCGAAGCATTRGTGAAGAGACTTGATAGAAGCCTAAATATAAGAAATAGATATGCCTATATACTATATTTTATGGATACGGGATCTAGTTGATAGAGAAAGTACCATAAAGATAAATTAGCAAGGTTTTAGGCCAATACAATAAGAACTGCATACTTATGATATGAAATGAAAGTTAGGAATCAACGCATGTAACAGGTTTGATCCACTCAAGGTATTGAGCAGTGGTGTGTTATTAGATCTCAAAGATAGTAAGGTGCCATTTGGCAAGATTTTTTTGAAAGATCTTTCGATAGACTTGTAAGTGAAAAGGTGATGTGAGATTTTGCATTCTTARTAGCTTGAAGACTATTTTTCTAAGGCATGCCTTCTTGCGTGTCTTTCAGTGCAAATATGGAAGAAAAAAGTTGGAAAAACTCCATTTGGAACTTCTCGAAAATAACTCAAAACAGGCTTTATGCATATTTTCGGGGAGTCATCTTTTGGTTGTTAGATCATTTTCTATCCAAACGGGAAAAGATCAAAACGTGGGTTGTCGAGCTTTTAAACAAGTGATAGCACATGTAAAAAGGTGTGCCAAATGAGGTCTTAGTCTTTTCTTTCCTATAGAGTAAATCTTTTTCAAAGATTCTATATGAATTTCTATATGAAACCGAGATAGTTACCTTTCAGAAAACTCTAACGATAGAGGGAGATGTTTATGCTTCATTCTTTTGATCTGAAGGTGGGAGAAAAGACAACTGATTATTAATCAAAAGTCTGAAACTCATGTAATTAACCCCCCTTTCGGTTAATTTGAGAAAAATGGAACAGATTTACAAGAAATCTCATTTAGTTAGATATGGTAGATTAGGATGGGACACCAAAAGAATTGACTGCTGAGCCGTATGAGGTAGGAAACTCTCAAGTATGATTCTAAGGGAAGGAATTTACCTACCTATTATGACCGAGGAGAACAAATTGTAAGTGGTGTGCAAAGGTAGAGTATAGTGGTCTCCTTGAAGGACGAAGAAAGGCTAGGGGTCTTGGGTAATAGAAGTAGGTGTGGATGCCCCTTTTATAAGGGGAGATCCCGAGGCCCTAAAGGAAAGGAGCCAAAAGGGGTTTGACTCCTATTTGGAAAGGGGATATTCGATTCAGTGTCGGTTGTCAGGAGGACAGTGCTAGGGATTCGCCATGTGTGACGTGAGATCTTTATAGGATGAAATTTCCTTTTGTCCGAGAATTCTCATAGTGCACGTGCGCTACTTCCCTTCGCGGGTCTCTTGTATTAACATAGCGTAGGTGACGCCAGAGTTAGTTTGACGTGTTCTACTGATTTTCTAGATGTCCTGTCGTGAGTGACTTTGGTTCATTGCAATCGTGTGATGGTCCTTTGTCCATTACGGGTTCACAATGACTTCGAGCTCATCGCGAGTGTCTGATGARTTACGGGTTCATCGCAGGTTCACAATGGCCCTGTAATGGTTGTGGGTCCATCATGGGTTAATTTGATGCCTTTATTGCAGTCATCGTTGTAGGGGAACATATGTACTTACACAGACCATTCAACAGGGAGATTGTGAAATTGCATAGACTTGGTTTTGACAAAGCTGTTGAGTATTGGAAACAAGCTATAGTGCTTACTCCAGGTAATTATATTGAAGCDCATAATTGGTTGAAGATCACGAGGCGGTTTGAATAAGAACATTCTATTTATTTTGTTAAATTCTAATATTTTATAAATGTTTGTTGGCTCTACAACATATAATATATTCCTTTCCACTATTCAAATTAATACAATACAATACTCATAACGACCTTCGATTGACAAAACTAAATTTAGGTATAGATACACATTTTGGAGTCTCTCTTATTGATGACTAATGATTGCTTCCGTGATTTGGAATAGAGTATCTAGTAATACGTTCCATGTAAGATATAAAGTAACTGCTCCAGCCGGGCACTTATACATTGAGATCTGAATACACTAGGTTGCACCAAAAAATCGTTTTTGCGTCAAGTTGAAGCCGGGAAAGGGTTTTACAAGATTAAAAAGGTACGTTGTGCATCTCATGGCTATGCATAATAGATCCAAACACTTGACCTGGATCGACTTCCAAATCATAATTGATTTATTGAATAACTAGAGAAAATAGGTAGATGGGTGATAGGAAAGAAATGAACTAATTCTAAATATCTCTCATAGGTTCATTGATTACTTGACTGTTGGCGGGTGTTGTTTGGAAAGAGGGCTCAATGATTATTTGTTAATCGGAATCAGAAGTTAAAATTTTGGTGAATAGGGATCCCAAGAATGGGCCAGACCTTGTCATTTCTCAAGAACAATAGCTAAGGGCTTTGAGACTATCAGTTGGGTCTAGAACCTACGTGCTGATGCTTACGTTTTCGATAGTTATACCTGTGATTTGGAGGAGATCTCTCGAAAAGTATTTAGTGCCCATTTTGGTCAACTCTCCATCATCTTTCTTTGGCTGAGTGGCATGTATTTCCATGGTGCCTGTTTTTCCAATTATGAAGTATGGCTAAGCGATCCTACTCACATTGGACCCAACACCCAGGTGGTTTGGCCAATAGTGGGCCAAGAAATATTGAATGGTGATGTGGGCGGAGGTTTCCGAGGAATACAAATAACCTCTGATTTTTTTTTAGATTTGGCGAGCATTTGAAATAACTAGCGGATTACAATGCTATTGTACCGCAATTGGTGCATTGGTCTTTGTAGCGTTAATGTTTTTTTTTTTTTTTTTTTTTCTAGTTGGTTCCATTATCACAAAGCTGTTTTAAAATTGGCTTGGTTCTAAGATGTAGAACCTATGTTGAATTATCACTTAGCGCGAAAATTGATGATTGCATCTTTAATTCATTGCTAGTACTAGTACATCTGAAAAATTTTAATTGGCTAGTTGTTGAAAACAAATGCTGCAATAGAAACAAAGACAAGGAACGGATTACCTATTCCTAACAGTCAAAGTGAGCCGTTTCATTCTGAATTCTTTTAATTTAGAATGAATCAAATATCCCTAAGTAGGATTCGAACCTACGACTAGTTAGTTAACAATCGACTATTCTACCATTGAGTTATTGAGGAACAATAAGAGATTAGATCTCATAGAGTTCAATTCCCATTCTCAACCCATGACCAATATGAGCCCGAAGCTTCCTTCGTAACTCCCGGAACTTCTTCGTAGTGGCTCCGTTCCATGCCTCATTTCATAGGGAATCTCAAAGTGGCTCTATTTCATTATATTCCATCCATATCCCAATTTCGTTCATTTAATATCCCTTTGGTGTCATTGACATAAGAGATGCCGTTTATAGTCTATCTGTTTCTATTTGTATATATGAAGAGTTAAGAAATCGTCATATAATAATGGGGAAATTTCAATAGAAAAGATAAAAACACAAGGTTTGTGATGATTTTAAAATCTTCTCCTTATCCATTAAGATAATCAATTCGGTCACCAGTTATGGAAGAAGGAACCAAAAAGGAGGTATAGCTGATGAAAGAGGTATCAATAACCGTCCTAATTCGTTACAAAAGGAAAAAAAAAAACCGTCCTAATTCTACCATATATTTTGTTTCATTTCTTCTAGAACAATAACAAGCAATTTTTTTTAGGGTTTCTAGCAGATAAGGGCAACTTTTTGCCCTGAATATCAATAAAATGCAATAATACTGTTCATCGTCTTCCTCTTCTTCTGCCTCTGTATTCATCTGAATACACTGGTCCAAGCAGCCATAGAAAAATTAGCAGAGGGACAAGGCTAACAGCAATCTACATGTCGTCATGGTTCCGTGGCTGGCCTTCGGCCATCTGATCCCTTTTCTCTAACTTTCCATGGCTCTGGCCAAGGCTGGAATCCGCGCCTCCTTCATCGCCACTCCCAGGAACGTCCTAAGGCTCCCAAAAGTTCCTCCAAATTTAGCTGCTCTCGTAAGCTTTGTTGAGCTCCGCTTACCCATTGTCGAGGGGCTACCCCTTGGAGCTGAAGCCATCATCGACGTCTCCATGGATGAAATCCAGCACCTCAAGGCGGCCTACGATCTCTTGCGCCATCAGGTCAAGCAATTCATCGCTAATGAATCACCCGATTAGATCATCCAAGATTTCATCCCCTGCTGGATGGCCGAAATCGCATGAGAATACGACGTCCCATTAATCACCTTCGCTGTCTACTCTGCTCCTATGCTGTGCTTTCACGGACCCCTGGAGTACCTTACCAATGACGGCCATGCAAAATACTGGACGTCACTGGAAAGCATTCACCGGAGTGGGTCACGTTCCCGTCATCGGTTGCCTTCGGCGCCACTAGGCAAACACCACATTTGCTAGGTTCTTTGGGCAAAATACGTTCGGTATAACGAACAACGAGCGAGTGGTTGTAGCTGTTGAAGCATGTAGGCCGTGGCCATCCGTAGTTACTCGGAGTACGAACCAGATTATCTGAACCTGGTCGAGAAGATATGGTGGAGACCGGTGATTGCAGTGGGTCTGCTTCCACCGGCGCCGAGTAGCACAGAAGCAAAGGAAAGGGAAGGAGATTGGGGCAAAATATTAAAGTGGCTTGATGGGGAGAAACCCAGAACGGTCGTGTTTGTGAGGTGTAGCGAGTGCACAGTTCGGCACGACTCGCTTTGTSTCAGTCCAGTGTATTCGGATGAATAGAGAGGTAGAGGAAGAGAATGAATAGTATCATTGCCCTTCTTTAATATTTTTCATAAAAAAGTTACTCTATTTTTATTATCTTATAAAAATATTATCTTTTATTGATATTCAAGGCAAAAAGTTGCTCTTATATATGTGTTAAAAACCCTTTTTTTATTATGAATCTACTACTAAAAATTCAATACAAAATCTCAGCATTCAATGTTTATCCCATTTCATTTTACTACGCTCCACGTTAGCAAGTACAGAATGCACGTGCATCCTATTGATTCGACCCTTCAATTTAACTAAATCACTCACGAGCAAATATGGTGTGCCCACGTGGTTCATGCTCTAGCGCGTGGGCGGTCAAAAGGAATGTACTACTACGTCTACATCGGAGACTTCCTATTACACTGAAGTGTAAACATATAAAAGGAAGGCTGTGTCGTGACTACTTGCACTTGCACTTAGCACCTGAGTGACAGAAAGAGCTCTAATTAAGTTTAGTAATTTATCTCACTCAGGGCACCGGCTTTTGAGTTTACGAGGGGCATAGAATAGAGAGGAGAATGGAAATTCAGAAGGAAGGTCAAGCAGCGGCGGCTAAAATCTGGAAATTCGTTTATGGCTTTGCCGACTGTTTAGTCCTCCGATGTGCCATTGACCTCGGAATTGCAGACATAATCCATAAGCAGGGAGAACCCTTGACGCTCTCTGAACTGGGGGCTCAAATTCCTGTGCAACCGGTCAACACCGATCACTTGCACAGGTTAATGCGTTACTTGGTGCACATGAAGATCTTCACCAAGGAAACCCTAGATGGCGAAGCACGATATGGGCTGGCTCCACCGGCTAAGTTCATTGTAAAAGGGTGGGACAAGAGCATAGTGTCAATCATATTAGTGGTCACCGACAAGGATTTCATGGCACCCTGGCACTGCCTCAAGGATAGCTTGTGCGGCGAGGGGACAGCTTTTGAGAAGGCGTTAGGGAGGAGCATATGGACATACATGGCTGATCATCCGGAGAAGAATAAGCTCTTCAATGAAGGAATGGCTTGTGATACCAAACTCCTCATATCAGCCTTGGTTCAAGACTGCAAGGATTTATTCCAAGGAATAATGTCGTTGGTGGATGTTGGTGGAGGCACTGGAACTGCCATGAGAGCCATTGCCAAGGCCTTTCCCCACCTAAAATGTACAATTTATGATCTACCTCATGTCATTGCCGACTCCCCTGATTACCCTGAGGTCGACCGGATTGCAGGCGACATGTTCAAACACATTCCTAGTGCCGATGCCATCTTATTGAAGGTAAATAAATTGAATTTGTTTCGATCTCTTCATATCATTCTTGACTCAGAATTTGATATTCGAACTTTCCTTCACCATGTAGCACAACTTCTTAATTCCTTAATTAGCAGACAAACTATAAGAGCAAGCGATTTCTTTTATGGTCAGGATAAATCAATCAAGGTTTGGGTTTGCTTTAATTGGTCATCTTTTCCACCCTAACCCAACTCAACTTTATGTTGAATTGGCATTTCTCAACCCTAGTCCTAATCCAATCTTCCCCTTTTCTGGTCAGATTGGGTTGGGTTTGGCCTTGCAGCCCTACTAGTATTAAAATTTCTGTAATTTTCAGCATTCATTCTTTGTAATTTCTACTGATATTTTTTTTGGGTACTGTGGTTCAGTGCATCCTCCATGACTGGGATGATGGTGAATGCATTGAAATTCTAAAGCGATGCAAGGAATCAGTGCCTAGAGAGGGTGGAAAAGTTATCATCGTCGACATAGTAGTAGATTTGGAATCTAAGCATCCCTTAACAAAGACTAGACTAAGCTTGGATTTGGACATGATGGTCACCACTGGAGGAAAAGAGAGGACTGAGGCAGAATGGAAGAAGCTTTTGAATGCTGCAGGGTTCCCTGTATTTAAGATTACACATATATCTGCCGTTCAATCTGTAATTGTGGCCTATCCTTATTAGCCTTTTCTCTCTCTCTCCCCAGGTCCTAGCTACGTCTTCTTCTTCAATACTAATAATATTTTATTTTTGGTCGGTTATATATTAGTGTCATAGGATGGGTTCAAGTCTAAGGGCCTGTTCGTTTGCTCTCAAGTCATCTGTATGTGTAATAATTACATTAAGAGGTATATTGGTATTGGTGAACCATTTTTTTTTCCTTTGAATTCTGAGTACAAAGAATGTTGTTCTGAATTTTGATTTCTGAATTTTGAAAACTACCAAATATCCATTGACACCATATATGAGAGTTATTATTTATTCTTTTGGGTATCATTGAAAAGCAAATAATTGTATGATTGCACTTTAAGAGATAGGAGATAAGAGGAAATGAAGAACTAAATTTTCTTTAAAATTAAAAGATTCCTTTTTAAAAGATAAGAGTTCAGAGGAAATGAACATACCCTAACAATGACCATTTTATTAAAGAAAAAAAAAACACCATAGGTTAGGTCTGTATTCCGTTCTTTTTTCCACATAGCTTTGACTAACACTGGATGATGGCTTTCTTGACTAACCATTTTCAAATCAATCCTTACAATTCCCACTACCTATTACCATCTCCTACCCCTAATCTGTCTTTGAGATTGACCATTGTGAGTTTTAATTTACCAACGCTGAATGATTTTCTTGATAGTTTTATTCAATAAAAAAATGGATTGAATTGTCTCCAATTTATAATTGTGTCGGGATCAGTTTTGGTTCTTTTGAACCGGAAAAAAACCACACCCCACCATATATTTTGTTGTATATATAATTTGTAATGTATAAAGATAACTCGAATCTAATTTCTATTTTTGGTTCTTCACCAAAGAAGTACCTTTTCATTTTAACTATTTACCAAAAGAAGTGTCATTTTAACAAAAAATTATACTATCTTTGGTTTGAAAGAAAAGGTAGGGAAAACCAAAACAGCGTCAGAAAAAAAGACATGTTACCGGAAACAGTTGGAATCGATCAACCAATATAATAGAAGTGATAATCAATCAGGTAGTATTCATCAAAATTCATGCGAGGATTTTGATTGATCAAAGCTTTTTAAGTATCATGCAAGGTTTTTAAAACTAACCCGGAGAACGAATCGGTTAGGGGTCCGGTTCTTGGGTCAAATGGTTCGACCGTTCAAACCCAACGGTTGTCCCATTCTAACAAAAAAAGCAGTCAAAACCGTTGAATGGTTCAACCACTCGGGTCAGCGGTTTGCTGACCAAATCAACATTTTTTTTTTTTGCAAATATCCAATTTTGGGGAAAATCGGAACAAGTTACCTAACTGGTTTCCGGTTTTCCGGTCCGACCATCYGATCCGGTCCAGTTTTGAAAACCATGGTGATGTGGGGTGATCCAACCCAGCACATTTGAGGCTGGGAGGCCCAGCCCACGAGTGCCAGATTAGGGAACGAGATCCACTACAACAGGGATTACCCTGCCCCCATAGTACGGAGCCAACCACGATGTGCTCACCTGACCCTGCCAAACCCGCTATAGGCCCTTGTATGGCTCCCATCTCAGGCGTTCATCTCCACTTACCTCCAGACAGCTCAAGTATAAATAGAGGACCCCGCTCTAGGTAAGGGGGGTTACAAAAACTCAAGACTTACAACTATTGTCATAATAGATATTGCAATAACTGCGGTAGTGACTTCAGTCTATAACTATCTACCAGGATCCCGTCYCGGTACTCTCCCTTCTTACCCTGTACTATCTTGACCATCGGAGACTTTGCCTCGGGTTCTCACCCGGGGCCTTTGACGAGTCTTTGCCATGCAACACTTTGGCCATTTATCCTCGACTTCTAGAGTACTCGGGGTCCACCACACCTCGGCCTCAGCGGCGATCTCTTCGAGTCCTCAAAGCCTTCAACCAGCCTTCAGAGTCCAGGGTCGGAATTACTTTGTTGTCCTCGGCCATTCCGAGCACCAACAATTGACACTATCTGTGGGAACGACACTGATACGTTCCCCGAAAGAACTATAGCAAGTTAACAAGTCCCCAAGCTCCAACGAATCAGCATGGTACGAAGAACGAGAAATACGCAAAATCTTGTCACCAATGAACAATTCCAAGCCGTGCTTGACTGCCTGGAATATTTGACACAGCGAGTCGAGCAGAACTTCCCCCAGGCAGGAGGTCGTTGAAGGGATGAGAGATCCATCATATGGATGCTCGAACCCTRTAGGTAGGTTGGGCAAAATTTCAAAAATTTCTCTCTCTCCCATATGGGAATCGCATTCCCTGTTTTAGAAAATCTGCATTTTCAAGGATCAATCTTGAACCAAGAACCAAACTAGATCAGAAACCAAAAGGTAGGAGAGGGATGTACCTGATACGGAGTAGCAGTAACTCCCAACGAAGGTGTTCACACCCAAGGAAAACTCCAAAGACTGCTCCCACTGAAGATGACATAGCGTAGGGTGGAGCAGAATCAGTAGGTTCTTCACAAGAACCGAATCCTTCTGCACGAATTCGATGGAGGGAGTGTGAGCACGACTTCAGATCAGTCTTTCCCCAAAGACTGATATCAAGAACACTTCTTGATCGAGCAGAAGATGGCGCAGTCTTACTATAACTATCTTCTCTCCTTCTGTGATCTGAGATCAATTGTGATGCTGTGTAGAATGGTTCGCCCCCTCCTCCTTTTATAGCCTTAAAGAGAGCTCGTAATCTCATTAGGAGTTTCCTAATCCAAATCTGTATTTGGACCAGGAGTTATCTTTAAGAGATAAGGATAAGCCCTTATCTTATCTATAGATTAGATCAGCCCTCATAATCTTATTAGGAGTTTCCAAATCCAAATCTGTATTTGGATTTGGACTCTCTGAGTGGATAGGGATAACTCCCAATCCTATCTGCTGATTCAAATCCCAGATCCGCCCCTTCTTTAACTAATCAAATTAGACCAGTTCAAATTGGGCTTTAGGCTCATTAAGTCTATTTGCTCACTAACATTCCAAACTACTGCCCAGTTGGGTTTCCTTGTATGGCATGGGACCCAAACATTGATTTACACATCAGCCACATGGGTTCAACCTAGCCTCTTTTATATGGCTTGGCCGAATTCACTGTTATGGGCAGTGAACCCCTGAGCCCATCACCATGGGCTCTTAATGGGCCCAACACTTAAAGTAAGTGGTCCCTGGGCCAAGCCACCTTATAAAAACTCGGGGACTGTGGGCAGATGCAAGATAACCCATCGAGTACTACCCTCAATGGTCTTACACTTAACCTCTCAGCCCATAATGATCAAACACTGCCCGACAAGAGAGGACCTCTCCCTCGGCTACAAGGAACAGTGCTACACTCTCTACTCACATGGATCCTGGGAATTAAAACCTTTTGCAAACATTTTGAAACCATAATATATATGTATATCTTTATATAAATATAGTTTGCAAAAACAAATTTCAACGATTGAAATCGGCTACTGGYAGCTTTGGTTTCCATCAAAGAGAGTGCATCCCCGATCATTACCTTTGTCCGATAAAGGGGTTGATCCTGTCATTGTGATCAACCACTCAGATGAATTCTCAGACTGTCCCAACATATCCAGGTTTTGACTCCCTCTAAAGATCTCACTGATTGGCATATCAAAGACAGCCCAATCCAACACCTAGTGCAGTATCATAATTGAGTCTAGGGGTTAGGTGTAACATTCTAGTTTTGCCCACCAAACACCAAGATCCAGGGCAATACTGGAATTCTGGTTCGGTTCAAGGTTTCAAGTAAACCTACACTACATGTACCTTGGGTCTCACCCTGGTAGCTGAGACAAGCCACCCCAACCAACTTGGCGGCACATCRGTGTCAGCCTTGGTAGGATAAATCTCCCCAGACTTACCCAATGGCTGTGAACATTCTAAACTAACACGAGTCTCATAAGTGTCCAGTTTAAGGGTATTACACAGAAACACACCATAATAACATGAATCAAATATGTACTTTATTCATTTATAATAAATGTCATAATGTACATCATTCCGATTGGAACTAAGGGCATACACTGTCTAACAACTCCCACTTGCACTTAGGTCCAATCTGGTATAAGCCGGAGTCCCATACTTTCCACGTGTTTCTCAAACACTTTCTGTGTCAGTGGCTTAGTCAGTGGGTCTTCTACATTCTTCACTGATGCTACCTTCTGAATCAGGACGTCCCCTCTTCTAACTATCTCTCGCAGTACATGGTACTTCCTCTCGATGTGCTTCGACTTCGAGTGGGGTCGTGGCTCCTTAGCCAGAGCGTTAGCTCCATTATTGTCACACAACAACCGAATGGGTGATGTGCTGGATGGAACTACTCCCAATTCATGATGAACTTCTTCATCCATACGGCTTCTTTGGCAGCTTCACTTGCAGCAATGTATTCGGATTCGATTGTTGAATCTGCAGTGGACCCCTGTTTGCTACTTTTCCAGCAAACAACACACGATCCTATCGTGAAAACATACCCAGATGTAGACTTTCTATCATTTGGATCCGACTGGAAATCGACATCAGTATACCCTTGGATCTGTAGTGAGCTACCTCGAATACCAGACAAAACTCTTTTGTCCTTCGAAGGTACTTAAGCATATTTTTCACAACAGTCCAGTGCTCTTGCCCTGGGTTGGCCTGGAATCTGCTTACCACACTCACTGCCTGAACAATGTCAGGACGAGTGCACAGCATGGCATATATGATGCTCCCTACGGCTGAGGCATAGGGAACATCCATCATGCCCTCAATCTCCTCGGGAGTCTTGGGAGACATCCCCTTGGAGAGAGTGACTCTGTGCCTGAAAGGAAAATTTCCTTTCTTGGAGTTCTCCATGTTGTATCTCTTGACTTTCTTGTCAATGTAAGTAGATTAGGATAATCCTATTATCCTCTTCGATCTATCTCTATAGAGTCGAAGACCCAGTATATAGGAGGCTTCTAGAAGATCTTTCATGGAGAATTGCTGTGAAAGTCATACTTTCACCGTAGTCAACATTTCTACATCATTCCCAATGAGTAGAATGTCATCCACATACAGAACCAAGAACGTAACCTTATCCCCACTGGATTTCCTTTAAACACAGGGTTCATATGGATCTTGCTCAAAGCCAAACTTTTTGACAGTAGAATCAAACCGGATGTTCCAACTCCTAGAAACTTGCTTAAGTCCATATAT